TTGCCGCCCATTCCCCTCCCTTTGACGCCCACCTTCCATTCGCGGACCATTTCCTTTTCTAGCCCATCCCAATTTGGACACTGTAGATACGTTCCCACAGCCGCATGCTACGATCCCGTGATCGCCATGCCCTTGCCTTTTCTTTCTCGCCCTTTGTTCTCTCTTTGTCATCTTCACTGCCTCACTCTCGCGCCTTGTCCTTGGTTGCTAAGCAGCCCCTCTAGTATATAAAGACCCCCTTAGGCGCTCCCTAGTCCCCATCTCGACCTCTTGGTCATTGGGACTAGGTGAGTGACCATAGCGTTGTACTTCCCTTCGAGTGCTAATGCATAACTTGGTCATTGGGACTAGTCTGTCGCTGTCCGCGTGAAGACTAGCTTTCGTAGGTCTCGTGCCTTCGTGCCGACCTCCGCTCTGCCCTCGTCGAGTTTTCTGTCACGTTTATCCCTCTCCCTCTCTTTTTCCCCTTTCGGCTCCTTGCCGCTCGCCTACGGGGTCGTCGCCGAACGTCGACCCGAGTCTACGCGCCTAGTCGCCGCGACACATCAACTGCAGTCGCTCCCATTCAGCATCCGCATAGAAACTGCAGCCTTCGCAAATTCTCTCGTCCCGGCCGTTCCCCGACTCCCTCATCCGCTCTAGCACAGAATCGTCCGCTGCGTCGTCAGCGATACCGTCTACCTCGGGGTGGTATGCTCGATTGGTCTATGCGACGCTGCTTAAGGACCAGCTCGTCGCCATTTGCTTGCACGATCGTCCATGACCACTTCCGGGCTCGGCACGGGCAGCATATACGCCCTTCCTGACAACTTCTTACCGGCTTCGTTTGGTGTTACCATGCGCTTTGAACACATTCTCGCCGTCCAGATGCCTTCACGATGATCCAACCATACACGACATTTTTGTTGATCCCAGATCCGCCACTCGCACTTTGTACTACCACGATACTATAGATCGTCTCCTGATCCGATGACCCGACCCTTCCTGTTCCGAGTCTGATCAGTCCTCAGTTGCGTGACGTGTACGATAGCTGCTGATACTGGCCTCTCCTCCGATATACCGCCTTGTACGCCTGGACTACTCGTACGTAGTCGTTTCCCTGATCGCGCCTAGTCTGCATGTATGTACGCTCCTGCCTTGCCTTGCCTTGCCTCGCCTTCCGTCCTAACGTAGCAACTTGCTTCCGAAACGATGCACTTCCCCCTCTTTTGGAGATGCGGAATGTCAATACGCTCCCGCGGAACGTCACAAAACAATATAGCGAGACTCGCGTTCTTTCCGTACTCCTTATGCCTGTAAGAACAGTCTCGAAAATCATCCTCCGTGTACTCACAATCTGCTTGCCATTCATTGGGGTCCCAGTCCAGCGCCCTATTGACCTTCACGCCGACGTAGACGTGTACCCATGGTCATGCAGGGCACATGCAACATCATTGAAACCCATAAGCACAAGCGGCGTTGAGCATATAGCCATTTCCGCACACTTGTATGCGCGGTGCTTTGTCGCACGAGCGACCTCACATTGATGCCTTGAGCACCGTCGATCGGTACGCTGGTGCCAGGGCACGGGTGACAGCATCGAACCCTGCACAGTGCAGGTCGATAAACATGAACTATGCACGGCTCGCGAGCGTGTCCTGCAGTCCACATGTTTGCGCGTCGGACGCCACGGGATGGGGCTGAGGTGTCCCGTAGGACGAGAGCATATGCAGCGCACACGCCAGCCGGTGTCTCTTCATTGCCATTTTTTCTACAGGGCGGCGATGATACATGACGCGAGTTCCCGAGGAGTGGTCGAGATGCGAGTGACTGCTCACCTTGATGCCCACTTCTCACCCTCATGCACCACCCATGATGATCATCGCGCAGGGTCCGTACATTTGTGAAACCCAGCTCCATGGCAGGAATGATGCAGACCAACCGTAGGGCGAGTGAGGAGAGCGAGCCTTTGCCCAGAAGGAGTGACTCGCTGGCATCGTTAAGGAACAGTAGCAGGTGGACGCGGGTATGACTGTACAAACGTACATCGATGAGCGCGGTGCACTAAGCGTGTGGGCCCGCGCGAGAGAGCCAGTTGGGGATAGGCAGCGCCCACTAGCCGATGTTCTGCTTACATAACGGTAGCGCTCAGAGATGTTGTCCGATCGAGTTATCTAAACAAACGACTCTCATCTAAGCGAGCTCAACTCGATCGAAAACGTATCTAGATTGTACTCCGACATGGACTGGAGTGGTATATGGAGGTTTGGAGTTAATAACCGTGTTCAGACAAGGGACAAAGGTGCGGTTTGGGTCTCGGGATGACCAAAACCCTTTTGGCACGGCGCAGGTTTGGGTGAACCTGTTGAACAGGCGCTGATTTACACAGCTTGCCTAACACAGCCGTCACAAGATATGGAACGGCACAGCCGGTTACTGCAATAACCGAGGCTGTGCTACTCATGTGGTACACACACAGCTTCGCTGTGTACGCACTGCTTCTCTGTGCGACTGTGCATCCTGGGAATGTACTGTATAGTACTACGTAGCCACAGATGTACAGTAGTATATATAGGGGACCTCTGTACCCCCAATCTACAGTTCAGTTCACTCGAACATCTCCTCTCATCACTCTAACAAGCCTCTTACCAACCAACAACCCTTCTAGGTGAGTTGCA